AGATATTCTTAAAGAGAATAGACTAAAGGCTAACTCCGGATCTACATAGATTAGGATTTCGGTCCGAACGTCGAAGTTATATAAAAAAAAAAAACAATACACGTATTAAAATTGCTTGAACTAATAAGATTCAATATTCATTACTCTGTGTTCAGGTAAATATATAACACGTGGCTTAAAGAGAAAAAACAGAATTCGTAATTAAAAATCTCAACAAACTTAAAGATGAATGTTGGTGAACACTTAAGTAGAGTGCGCAAAAGGTCAACAAGAGTGTTAGTGTACTTTAGCATTACGGTTTAATTGTGTGTACATTTATGATTTTCTCTTCTTCTTTCCCCCCGACAAATGTGAATATATTATGATGTTAATAGTGACACTACATAATCTTTATGCAAATAAAGAGTAACCAACCAGGAGGATGATTTTCTCTTTCTTTTAACCGGTTGAATTTGTTATTAATAGCCTAACAGTATTACTACTTCTCAATATTTATTCCCTTTTGTGGATTTTGTTTTTTAAGTGCTTTGTACGAATATGTTAAAATAAAAATGCATTACCAATTGATAAATTTCAAGAATATATTCAAATTTAAAAATTTGATCATTTATTTCTAGGGTGTTGGTTATTACTATTTTTTTCATGGTTTTCTTTTTGTGTCCCCAAAATATATTGTTTGCATGAAAAAATGTAAGAAAAAAAGAAAAAGAGAAGAAGAGTCCTACCAAAAAGGCAAACCAATAGAATAGAAGAACCGAGGCGACACTGGCCCATAGTGGTTTGATTTTGGGACCACTGAACCATGTGCTCGACTCCAATCTTTCAATAAATTACGCTTATAATTTCATAAAATTTTATATACCCTTTTCTTCTTCAAAACACTACTATATTCATAGTGAACAATTAGACCTGTGTTTAAATTTTGGTTGGTATAGAATGTGTTGACGATAAATGCACATGGAAAGAACTTGCATCAATATATATCCTCCACACTTTAATATATTATACTATTTTAAAAAGAACACTTTATCGACTTATATTATTGTAGGTCTCACCGACAATTTATTTTGCTATAGTCACATATTTTGATGAATTTTTTTTGTTTTCATTTTTTAGCATTAACTACGATCAAAATTAATAACGATCATAACTTACCATCAAACCTTATTTGTGTAAACATGATCTGTGTAAAGTACATATATTTCAGAATCAAATCATATGGCAAAATGCTTTTGGTGTTTTTAAACACTGAAAACTAACATTACATTCGATTTTTGATTATTTCATAACCAACAAACATTATTTAAAAAAAAAAATATTATAACCAAAACATTGAGAAGTAAATCATTTTGTTCCCGAGATGAAGCTCGAGAACTGACAAAATTCTTTTTCATAATATTTTCAAAAATGCTAATTTAGAACCATTGATCGCACTTGACCATGTAAATATGTAACCATCTTTGTTTTTTTACTGCAGTAGCGTTTTTCTTTTTTTTGAAACTTAAAAAAAAAA